CGGCAGGAGAGAGATCACTTGATCATTGCCTGTTAGGTTCACTCCCTCTGGGGCACCTGGCACTGGTCACTGTATGTAGACAGGATACTGGACTAGATGGACCTTTGGTCTGACCCGGGGTACGGCCGTTCTTATGTTCCTATGAGAAAGAAAAGAAATGATAATGGGAGGGAGATGGGGAGCATGCCAAGCCCCTGGCATGGGGTCAGGGTTGCTGGGAGTCCTTTAAATACAGGGGGATGGTGGAGGGACCTGGGAGCTCATGGAGAGAGAAGATTTCAGCTCTGGCTGGAAGAAGACAAAGTGGGAAGAAATCTACCTTGAAACAAGACTGTAGCTTGCTAAGTCTGAGCCACTAGAAAGTGCATTTACTTTTATTTGCTTGTCATCTTTATCCCTTGTACCTGAACTCACTGAAAACGTCTCTCTTGTTAATAAACCTGTTTTACTTTTCATCTAACCCCCCGCAGTGCTGGGTGTGAACTGAAGTGAGTGGCAACTCCAGCAAAAGTAATAAGCTCGGGCTTCTGTCTCTTTAAAGAAGCAATGAACCTATCACGTCTCTGACCGTCCCAGGAGAGGGCGGGACACTTCAGGACAGATGGATTTGGGGAAATTTGGGACTGGGGGTGTGGCGTCACCTGCAAAGAGTAACCCAGTCTGGTGGGTACCCTGGGGGCGGCTGTTGTGTTGTAGGTGGGCGACTGGGGGCAGAGCGCTGGACCCCGGACTACCCAGCCCACAGACGCTCAGGGGGCTCCAGGCTTGTCTGACGGCTACCAGAGTCTGGGCTGTGAGCCACAGGGGCAAAGCATTTAAAGTCCCCCAAGGCTACAAGGAATGCGGTGACACAACCCATCACTGCTCTGGGTGGCACCCCAACGCATGGCAGCCACCTTCTTGTATTTTATGGAATGAATGCTGGGATACTGGAACACATGAGAGCGACTCCAGGACAAAATGATTTGCTTGCCGAGCCGCTGTGAGCCAGCCCAGTTCAACCCAACTACCATGTACACTAAAGCCCATATCCACAAAGGGACTTCGGCATCTAAATCGGGCTTAGATACCTAAATCCGGGACGCACAACCCCCTGCACTGCTGCTGCCTGACCCCATGGGTGCCTGAACTCAGCCCATGCCCACGTTTCTGCTGTAGAATTCCCCTCTGTGCCCAAGGTTCTGCCTGTGGACACGCACATTGCAGGCTCTCTCTAGGTGGCCTGAAAGCCTAAACCCAGGCCTGTGGGGCCAGATTGGGTAGATGTGCTCTGAGCATGCTAAGTGGATTGACTCCGTTCAAAATGCAGAGGAGGATTTCTAGCCCAGTGGTTAACGCACTCGCCCAGGACGTGGGAGATGCAGGCTAAATCCCCCCCTCTCTGCTTGATGCAGTGAAGAGATTTGAACAGGGGTTTCCTACCCCATGTCAGGCAGGTGCACTAACCACTGGGCCATGGGATAAGAACCTAAGAATGACCATATTGGGTCACAGCAATGGTCCATCTAGCCCGGGATCCTGTCTCTGACAGTGGTTGTTGCCAGGTGCTTCCAAGGGCAACAGGGCAATTATCCATCCCCTGATGTCCTGTCCAGCTGCCGGCAGTCAGAAGTTTAGGGACACCCAGGGCATGGGGTTGCGTCCCTGCCCATCCTGGCTAATAGCCATTGGGGGACCTGTCCATGAACGTAGCTAATTCTTTTTTTAGCCTAGTGTGATAAATGAGGGGGGGTAGCACCCTTGTGTAACTCCCCAACCATTCAGTTAGCTGTAGAATCCTCCTTAGGAGCTGTACCCAAATTGCCGTACCTGTAAAGGGTTAAGAGGTAAACTTAAATTGAGTTGGCACCTGACCAGGGGAACCAATCAGGAAGCTGTACCCTTTCCAATTGGGAAAAACTGCTGGCCGTAGGGGTCCTTTGTTCTGTCGGGCAGAAGCTGACAGGGCAGCAACATTCTGTAAGGTTTGGGCCAGGTATAAGAATCATCAGCATCATACCTAGAAACTACTCCTCTGAAACCCCAGATATGTAAGTAGATCAGGAAATGTCTAGTTAGATGCGATCAGATTTGCATCTGAAGAAGTGAGGTTCTTACCCACGAAAGCTTATGCTCCCAATACTTCTGTTAGTCTCAAAGGTGCCACAGGACCCTCTGTTGCTTTGATCAGATTTAATTCTTCATTTTGGGCTTGTGGATTCCTCTGTGCTAACCCCAGGTGCTGTTGGTTTGATTTGTTTGCTTGTAACACTTAAGCTGGACCCCAAGAAAGTCATTTTTGGTGTTTAATCCCTAACAGCCTCAGTTTTCAGATCTGTTTTCTTTCTTTTTTCAATAAAATTTACCCTTTTTAAGAACATGATTAGCTTTCTGTGTCTTAGGAGGTAAAGAGGCTGCATATGTTAATCAGCTGATACAACAGCTAAGATTCCCTTTTCTTTTGTTTTCTTTCTCGGCTGCCCCAAGGGAGGGGTGGAAAAGCCGAGGGGCTTCAGAAAAAAATCATCCCAAGTAAGGTTTTTTTTCTGGATTGGCAAAAGGCAGTTTTCACTTGGGTGGGGGCAGCACTACCAGACTGGAGTGGCCAGTATTAATTTTTGGAGTCCTTGCTTGCCCCCGCCTTCTGCACTCGAAGTGCCAGAGTGGGGAATCAGCCTTGACACCTAGTTATACTTTTGGCCTTCACGACATCCCCTAGCAAAGAGTTCACGACATCCCCTAGCAAAGAGTTCCACAGGTTGACTGTGCGTTGAGTCAAGAAGCATTGCCTTGTGTTTGTTTTAAACCTGCTGCCTGTTAATTTCATTGGGTGACCCCTGGTGGTTGTGTTATGTGAAGGGGTAAATAACATTTTCCTATTCACTTTTCCTTCCATTCTTAGAATCAGTGTGGGGCTGGAAGGGACCTCAGTCGACACAAGGCAACTTACGTCAGCTTAACTCTGCCGCACAGACCAGGTGTCAGGCTCTCCTGGTGAAGCTTTGGATAAATAATTAAAGAGTGACAGGGCCAGACAGAGGGCGAGTGAGAATGACTGTAGAGCCCGGTGGTTAGAGCAGCCACCTGGAACAGTGTCCAGTCCTGCCACTCCACAGTCCCAGAATTATTTATCCACCATGGAACAGCTTCACCAGCAGAGACGTGGGAGCCCGCGTCAGCACGTCGCCTCGTGCCAGGCTAACGCAGCTGCAACGGGCAGGCGCATGTGAGCTTAGATATAAAAGGGAGTGGGCTGAAGATGGGGCGTGGGAGGCTGGCAGCTCTGGAACACACTGGCCATCGCAGAAAATAGCCCCGGGTTAGTGATCTGGTTAATTTTATTTCTAGTTTTGTAACTTGTGGCAGGGCACACAGCACACTGGATAGGCCCCTGTATGCTTTTGCATACAAAGCTAAATACATTAACACAACCACCATTTTTAGTGACACTCAAAGTTGCAGCAAGACATGCCCCACACCACCCAAAACTTTAAAAGTCTGGAAATCAGAAGTTAATAGAAAGTCTCCTACATTCCTTGTAACTTCATACTGCCTATCACACTGTCAGGTGTGCTGCTGATCCGGTGCTACAAGGGTGTGTGAGGTACTGGTTCCAATTAAATTAACTAAACTAGTTTTAAAGAGGAAATGACAGCATATAGAGCTATAACATCCTTTCCCATGGATTATTAGGAGTGTTTGAACCCTGGTCCCAAAGCCCATGTCTACACAGCGAAAAAAATACAACAACGCAGAGCAGTGAGTCTCAGAGCCGGGTCAACTGACTAGTGATCTGTACAAAATTGAAGAGCTTGAACAGGACAGACTGAGAACGACCCAGGCTGGCCTAGTCAAAAGCCTGTTGGTTTGTGATCCTCCTGCAGGATCACAAATCCAAATTCAAATCCCTTTTCCATATCAAGCAGAGGGGATAACTGAACCTGAATCACATAGGCCAGGTGTGAGCTCTAACCACTGCGCTAAAAGCTACAAGGAGAACAAGGAGGAGTCCTTGTGGCACTATAGACACTAACAAATTTGTTAGTTTCTAAGGTGCCACAAGGACTCCTTGTTGTTTTTGCTGATACAGACTACCACGGCTCCTACTCTGAAACAAGACCACTTCCCCTTCAGCCAGCAGTTTTGTGATGCCAGCCTGAAAAATTATGTTTCAGTGACCTCAAAATGAACTATTTTGTTTCAACGTTACTGAAACATTTTGATATTTTTGGTTCGGTTGAAACTATTCGGTGAACTCGATATGAACTCGCAAATAGTTCAGAGTCGACCAAAGCTGCATTTTTGGGTAAATATTTTATGCCAGTAAAGATTTGCCGAGCTGTAGCTAAAAGCCTTGTCTTCAACAGGCCCAGGCTGTGTGCCAGGTCTACAAGTAGTTTACAAGTCCCCTTTGCAGCTACCCCCCAGGCTGGGGAGAGAAGGTGGGGGGGTACTAGAGCTGGGGAAATAAGGGATTTCTCATTTTGCTGGCAAGTTTGAAAAGTCGGGGGGCAGAGGGAGAATTTGCGGTTGAGCCAAAAACAAAACTGTTTGAAAAGTTCAGGTAAATCAACAAGTCAATTTTTGTTTAGTTCTGGGACAAAATAAAGTTTCGTTTCAGTTTTGCCCCTTTTTAAAATCATTTTGGAATAAAAATAAACAGGAAATGTGGAAACAAAAAGCTGCTTCCAGCCAAAAAATTGAAACTTTTCATTCAGAAAATGTCAAAGGGAAACACTTCTGGTTTTCCCAGCATTTGGGGGGCTCTCCCCCCCCAACGAAGAATTGGGCAAAAATCAACTGAAATTCACAGACCATTTCAGTGTCAGCGACCATGGCCGGTTACGAGGGTGGAGTTAGTGTTGGAGGGCGATAAACATGGAGTAGCTAGAAGCTATTTTCTACGTGCCCTACAGAGCAACCAGTCGGTTTGTGCCTTCAACTTGCAGGCGTGAAGAAGCGGCTAAAGGGACACCGAGAATCAATGTCACCAACCCACCCTGGAGCAGAAAATCTCTTACCTTCCACCCCTGAGAGCTGCCATTCCTGGGACGGTCTCGGGGAAGTTGAAGAAACAGGGTGATCAGTCCGTGTTTCACCCCCCGCCTTTTCTCTTCCTGTAAGTCTGAGATGACTAACAGCAAAACTGAAAGTAACACTGAACCAACACGTAGCAAAAGTCAGATCTAAGTTCTGTGAGCTCCACCCAGCCACTTTTCAATTGATTTGAGGTTTAGATCAGTGTGTGTGAGTCCCACATTGTCCTTTTTGCTTCTACAAGCAGAGGGGCCGGGAATTCTGATCCCTCTAAAGTGGCTCAGGAATTGCTTAGTGTCTGACACTTCATTTCTTACCCTTTTCCCTCAATCCCCTCGTCACTGCCTTGTCTGTAATCAACCTGCACAGAGCTCTGGCTGTTACCTGAGGGTGAATTGTTTTTTTCTGGCACATTTAAGCAATTAAACAGATAGTGAAAAATAGACACTTTGGTTATTATACATTTCTTTGTTTTTGTTTGAAACAGGTCAGAGGTGGAAATTGGGAAATCCAGCCAGGAGGTGTCCAGCTGAAATCTCATTTTGATTTGGCCAAGTTACAACAGTTTGAAAATGTTTCTTTCTGAGCCATCAATCGCGTGTGTGTAAATGTAGAGTAACTCCACTGCAGTTGCTGGATCTGACTCCGCTTTTCACACACCCCATTGTAAATCAGGAGTAACTGCACTAGGTGAAGTTGTACCAGTGTGTAACCTGTGTGAGTGGGATCAGAGCAAACTCTGCAGCCTCTGCACCCACCAGAATGAGGGTCAGTCTACACATGAAACCCTGCACCGGCACAGCTGTAGCACTTCAGTGAAGACGCTGCCTACGCTGCTGGGAGAGCTTTTCCCGTCAGTTGAGCCACCTCTCCGAGAGCTCTTCCACCAACATAGCACTGTGTGCACCAGGGGTCAGGTCAGTGTCACTATGTTGCTCGGGGGTGTGGATTTGTAGTTGTACAGGTGTAAGATTATAGCAGAGACGTGGTGTGAGCAGGTGATGCAGCTACACCTGAGCTGTGAAGAGTTGGCTGTGCGAGGTCTGATTTGCAGTTACCACATACCAATTATCTCTTGTTTTTCACTGACAGCTTTAACCATAGGGCATAATTGGATTCTGTGCAGTCTTCTTCTTTGCTTTTGGGGACAAAAGTACCATCTCTTCTTTGCTTTTGGTGTTAAATACCATCTCTTTTCATTGTTTCCCACCCATAGTTGTACCAGTGAAGGATTCTGAATTGTTGGCAACCCTACAATACCCATTCAAAGCTGTGATTTTGCTTATTGCTAGTGATATTGTCCGGGCTTCCAATGAATCAAGAAGAGTGAAGTATGTCCTTATTCTGGGGGGCAAATAAGTAGATTTTGTGCCCAGACATTTGGTACCTAGCAACTAACGACCATGGCTAACCCCTCTGCAGGAAACTAGCCCGGTTTGATCTACTGGAGAGTAAAGGGCTAAGGAGGATGGCCTAATGACTGTTTCCCAGGAACAGGAACAAGGAACGGAGGAAGGGCCCTTGGGGCTGTTAGGGGTGGGCTGTTGGAAGTAGGAGACATTTCTAAACGGGGATTGAAAAGAGGTCAGAGAGCTGTGGGCTCTGCACCCGACCAAGATGGATTTTGCTCTAACTTCTGTTCTCTATGTTAACTCAGGACTATCTACGCTGGGTTCCAGACAATAAACACAAGACCAGCTGAGTCACTCCAGATTGAGGAAGTTGGGGGTGGGTGCACAGCACCCTTTGGGTGTGCAACTCTTCCCCAGCTGCCCAGCCCTGATGGACGCGCTGAGGGGAGCTCATGGAGTGATGCAGGGGTGCTGAAGGCTCCAAGGGTCAGTCCTCTCAGTCCTAGGAGGTGGTGAAAGCAAAGGGCTTTCCCCAGAGAGTGTGACCCTACAGGGAGTGACACACTGAAGGGGATCTCCCAGGGGCTGTTCCGGAGCCATGTGAGAGCACCGGACCTGTGGATCCATGACAGATACGCATACAGGATACCATGTCTATAAATAGTTTTATTCACAATATTTACATTTTGAGTACAGATTTCAAGAGCAAGTCTTGCCATTCAAAGATTATGCGGGAGCACAATTAAATGAAACACTGTTACAATCTTAAAAGTCAAAATTTCAAACCTGTCCTTTAAAAACCCAGATAAATAATCAGATCAGCTTGAAAACTGGGATGGTAATTCAGGGACTAGGGTAGAACCTGTGTTACGAATCTGCGTTCATTTGATCACGGGGTTCTTGAGATACAGCCAGGGTCAGAGTGAGACAAAGGCCCTAAAGCCTGAGCCAATTGCTCTGAGGGGGGAAGCTGCCCCGAGTGTATCCAATGCGACACTGACTGAGTCTGCAGAGAGCCTGAGCCCATCGCTCTGAGATAGAAACTATTGTTTTAGGGGAAATTGGGTTGCTTTTTAAATGAAAAATGTTGACCCAGTAGAATTTTTAAGTTGATCTCTGGACTTTAAGAACATTACAAAAATGTCATGTATTCTTTATTAGAAATATGTTATTGGTTTTCAACCAAAAAGGTAGAAGGCTGCTGGTGGAGAACTTTCTCTGTGCCTGGGAACTTCCTACCACTAGCATCTGTTCGAAGCTGCTTTTCCATCACCAGTGTAGTGAGACGGCAGAGCCATGTAGGGGGTGTGGGCAGAAGTCATCATGGATCCCCCACTGGCCTCACCAATTTTAGACCCCCACAGCCCTAAATTGCACGAGAGCTGGGTGGCTGGAGAAGCGGATCTCAGAGTGGAGAACCAAGGCGAGCAAGTCTACAAGCTACCCCCCTTGAGTCAGCAATGAGATCTACCCATAGGGAAAATATCTACATTACAGTGCAGAACCCTAATATTGGTTTAAAAACTGCGTGGGTGTTTGATATGAGCCAGCTCATCAAGGCTGTGATAAATGCAATCCCCGTCACTTAGACCGGCGGGTTTCCTGCAGCCTCACCCAGTCCTCAGGGATGTTCCGGTCCTGCTCTTTGGGGGGGCATCCTGCCAGTTTGCTGCTGACCAGCTCGCCACAGCTGGGGAGTGAGCTATTTTGTTCCCTAACCCTGTAGTGGCTGTGACTGAGTGGGCTTTATACACCCATCTCTCTCCTCAAATAGCAGGGTGTTTTACTCAGAAATTCCACTGGCCTGAGAAACGTACGCTCAGCATTCAGACCTGCATCCTCGAGGGCCGGATTACACAGCCTAAGGCGGCTGCATGAGACCCGGGTTCAGCAAAGCACTTGAGCACACGCGTGAGTCTCACTGGAGTAGGGGGCTGTACCGGTACCTCCAGGTGCACTGTGGGCCTGCCTGAATAGTGCATTCAAGGTCGCAGCGGGAGGGGGCGCAGGACGCTCCTAAAAATGGCGTCCCAGACCATAGGGTTGCAGCCGCCTGGAAAACAATGGATGAGGTGAGCGTGGCACCTGCTGTCACCCCAAGGGGGCAACATTGAAACAAAGCCCTCCCCCGCACTTAAAACGCCCTCTCCCAGAACTCTTCCCCAGGTGTGTGAGCCGGCTGGCTCACTGGTTAACTGTCTCCCAGGACTTGCGGTAATACCAAAGCAAATCACACATTGAGGGTCTGTCTCCTCAGCAAATATCCTCCCCACCCACCCCGAGCAAGGAGTTTCAGAGCCTGGGTCAATTGATTTGGTCTCGCGCTGTGAAACCTAGCCAGTGGGGGATGTCTCAGCCCTCTGGCTCAAGCCCAAGCAGGTATGTCCACGTGGCTATTTTTGCAAGTCCATGTCAATTGACCTGGGTGCTAAGACCTGCTGCTGCGGCCGGGCCTTTTTTGTTTTTGATTTTTGCTGTGTATTGTCTCCCCTCTCTCTGGGCAGGGAAGATAAAACTGTTTTGTTCTCCCGTAGGCTGCAGCTCCTCTTTAGCACAGCTATGGTGGTCAAAGTGCCATGGCTGAAAATTTAGTGCCCTCCTGGCGTGTACCTGCTGTGTGCACTGTTGGCAGAGGTGGATCCGGCTTTCTATGGCAGGGTGATACAATTTCATGCATCACCCAGAATTCAGAAGGTCCAGCGACAGCTCCCCAAACCATCACACCAACCCTCCCCCAGAACACCAGGGGAGTGGGGAAAGAACTGTGACTCCCTGGCCAGTGGGACTCCTAATAAATCGTAGGCACCTGGTTTTGCTGGCAGAGGGACACAGAAATATGACATGGGCCAAATTCTCTGGTGGCGTAAATTGGAGCTACACAAGTAGAGAGTTTGGCCCCATGTCGGCTCCTACAATGTCACTTTTATCTTTTGCAAAATGGGCAAAGAACTCATTGAGAGAGCCCGCTGCAAACCATGCGCCCTGTGACGGCGGAATTCCTTGGCTAACGTTCGCTGCAGGTGGGGGAAATCAAACTTGTCAGGGTCCCAGCTGGATATAAGGAAAACGTCTGTTTCTCCTCCCAGGTGTGTTATACACTCCTCTCTAATTGTCTGCAGGGCGCTCTCCTCATGGAAGTTTCTCCTCTGTGCAGACGCCACGTCCAAGTCCACTTTGGAACGGACAAAGTAAAGCGAGCAGCGGCACCGGAGGCAGCAAACAGGGCGGCTAACAGGGGAGTTTGAGAGGGAGTTCTCATTGGAGGAGAAGGTATCTGTGTTTGTGTCTGTCTTTGTTGTCCTTGTGTGTTTGTAGAGGCCTGCAGGGGCTGGGTGCTGGGAAGGACGCCGAGCCCTGATTAGGGGGCGGGGCTTAGCTGAGTAGGGGGCCCATAAAAGCGGCCGCCCAGCCAGGCAGCGGCACAGCTGCGAGCAGCGGCACCGGAGGCAGCAAACAGGGGAGTTTGAGAGGGAGTTTGCAGGAGGGCGCAGTGTGTTGTGTGCTCTGTGCCCTCAGATGCAGGGACCAGAGACTGCAGCAGCCATGAGCCAAGCAGCAGCAGCAGACAGAATGCAGATGGCGGCATGTGGAAGCTGTGGTATGTACATGGTCCTGGCAGGGGAGCTGGAACACAGGTATGTGTGTATGAAGTGTCGCCTGATAGTGTTACTGGAGGAAAAGATTAAGGGGCTGGAGATGCAGGTAGATACCTTGGTGGAGTTTAGACGGGGGTTCGAGCAGCTGATGGAGGACAGGCAAGTGGGGGCTGAAGGGGAATGCTCTGCGGTGCAGGTGGAGGCAGAGGTAGACGACAGCTAGAGGGGAATGGAGGGGGGAGAACAAGGGAGAGTGGAAGCATGTGACTGTGAGAAGCAGGCCAAGG